AACTCCACACGTTGTTCAAAATATTATAACTGCAGTAATTTTTGAACTTAAGTTAAATGATTTTAAATGAGTTAGAAGGTTGTAATTACAACATTTTAACTGAAGAAGTATATGTTTTCGACAAAAAAACGACTTCCAATTTGTCATGTCATGTTTGAGATCAATTTGAAGAAAGTATGCGAGTGTATGAGCCAATGAGCCAATTTTTAAATTTTGTAGAAATTCTCTCTGAACTGATTTCAAAAAATTAAAAACTATTTGCTAAAGCTCGATAAATTAGCGATAAGTTTCACGAGACGATTGGTCGAGCCGTATCTTTAGAACCAGCAGAAAAGTACAAACAATTTCGTCCATAATTTCGCAAAAAATACTAAATCTATTTTGAAAATTTAAAAACAGTTCAAAAGTATCAGTTTGGAATTGTGCTGAATAGTTCTTCGCAATGATCGGTCAGACCGTTTCTATGTAATTAAATGTTAGATTTTTTCCACGCTTAACGAAAATTACAAAAAGTTCATAGTAAACGGATATCCTAACGGATATCCTAAAATATTAGGTTTTTCGTAAAAATGAAAATTTTATTTTCTACCACTAACAGCTGAAAATTTTATTCAATTAGCCAAGTCTTATTTTTAACTTGAAAATGAAAATGTTTGCATATCTTCACGTTTCAGAGGTTTCTGTATATTTTGGCATACCTCAAAAATAATGGATGTATGTGTGGGTATGTGTGGAGATAATTTTTCGTCGACGATTTCGGGCGTACAGATTATCCGATTTGAATTGTTCAAAAAACATTCGATTCCTATTAATGAGGAGACATGTCGTATAGTTTTTAACAAAGACAAAGCTTAACACACTATAGAACGGATCAACCGATTTGAATGATCCAAAAAACATTCGATTTGTAATAATGGGGAGATTAGATTATGGCAAAGGCTGGCCTAGCCGTTTCGGAGATATAGAGCTAAATGTGCAAAAAATGGCAGTTTTTGAGAGAACTAAGCATCCGATTTGAATGAGTTAAAACACTTTCTGCTTGTGTTGACAAAACGATTGCTTTTTAGGGAAGAAACTTGTTTATATAATTTTTTTTTTAATTTCCAAGTCTCTTTGATATCCATAGATTCATCACCAATTTTGCCCAAAATCCATTGTAATGATCTTCGAATGTAGTTTAAAATGTGACAATAATTCCTTGATCTAACTTGATCTTTATATAACCTGGAGCAGTTCTTTCTTTTTTGGAAATATATGCCCAATGTAGCATCATTTCCACCAATGAGCAGTCTCATCGTTATTAAAGACCTGGTGTGCCGTGTATCCACCTTTATCAATGGTTATTGTAGTGACAAGCGTTTTCTCATAGATCAAACCACGGTTTGCTGGCAACAAAACTGGATTAATACCAGTTTCTCCAATTTCCTTAAAGTAGTTATAAGTTTTCAAGGCTTTGTTTTTAATAATATTGGCGCTTAGTAGAATTCGCTTTTCGAACAGTCTTCAATCCAGATGCTAAGAGCTTTCCATCTGCTCTATTATTGCTGCCCGAGGACCAGATATTATATTGAAAGCGATTGGACTGCCTGCGGTAACAGATTCTCTAATTTTTTTTATCATTTCTTCCAATCCGTATGAACGCTTCATTTAAATTGAATGATTTGGCGACATGTCATATCTCGATATAAAATTTCTAATTTTGTTCTTATAGAGATAAAATGTCTGTTAGGAAGTTTTTTTTATTTTCGCCAGACAAAGCTCAAAAATACAAATTTATGTAGTTACTATTATCTTTGTAATAAAAAAATAGTACTACTTATCCAAAAATATTTTATTCACGAATACTAACAGGAATAAATTATTAAAGTGTGCTTAAGTATAAATAGTTAACAAAAACTTAGTCAGAAAATCTTGTAGTACGTGCACGTTTGAATAAGAATGGTGAAATACTAAACCTTTTGCACATAAAAGCTTTTTCTCATTGATTACATTATTGTACTGAGATTTCCTTCACTTCAAGTTAGACAAAGTTCATGTATGTGAATCCGTGCTGTAGAAGTATCGTGTTAGGCGGGGATAATATAAAATCCAATTAAGTAGTGCATGTCATTGTGCTTTAAGGCAAATTGCTGAAACTTCCAGTACCAAAAATTAAATTTTTTAAGGAAAATTCAATTTTCTTTTGGAACTCTGAAAAAAAACTATTTTTGAGGTTTTTAAAATTTTTGAAAAGAATGACCTTTTTGAAAAATTTAATTTCTTCTATACTTTGAAAATTTTTAACTTTTTTTCAAAGCAATTGCTATACATTAGCTGCGTTGAAACGAAATATCGAAGCCCGTAGGCGTCGCGTCACAGTAAAACGGATAAACATTGATACGGAACCCATAAAAAAGTAAACAGAATTTGTTCTTATTATTAAAATATTTAAAAAATACGTGATGATTTGATGTGCATATGCCTAATCGATCATTCTTATGCGTCTTATGATTTTTTTTTCACTTTTTTATAACGTTTCCGAAACCGCTAGACTTACTCTTCCAAACTTTTCACCAGTTCTTCATTTCGTCAATACCAATTAAATTGTTTTTTGGATCATTCAAATCGGACCCTCAGTTCTCTCAAAAATTAAAATACCATTTTTGACATTTTTTGCCACGTATCTTCGAAACGGCTGGACCTGTCTTTGCCAAAAACTAATCAGTACGTCTCCTTATTAATAGGAATCTAATGTTTTTTAAATTATTCAAATCGGTTGATCGGTGTCACCGAAATCGTAGTCGAAAATTTGTATCCGCACACACACACACGCACGCACGCACACACGCACATACAGACACACATACATCAATTTTTTCTAAGGTATGCCAAAATATCCATAAACCTTTGAAACGTAAAGATATATACAAATTTTCATTTTCGATTTTTCGGCGATTACTGTAACTTACCCTTAGGGAAGTTAAAAAACAAAATACATATGAAATAATGCCGATACTAATCATAAAATAGTAATAAAATAATAAATACAAAAAATAAAATATTAAAAAAATTATTATATCCATGCTCATAAGCTTGGTGTTAAATTTGAACATTAACAAATTAAATGTGTTATTAAACAGATGGCTTGCCTTAGCTATCAAAAAGCCATCTTGACTTTTTTGACAGCATTCCGTTAAATATTTTCATACCCAATAAATAGTTCACTCGATTTCGAAGCATATCATTACCGAATATATTTACTCTTGTATAATAAAATAGTTAATTCGGTTTGGTTCTTTTTTCAGTGGAAATTCGCATTTTGTGAGGCTATTGTGGCCAAATAATTCAGCATTTTTGGATTCGCATTATTTCCGAGTCAACAACAACCAATCTCAAAGCATCAATGGAACATTGCTGATAGAGTTGCCCTTGAATACGAGACACTTGCTTTATTCAGAATATGATTATAATGTAAGTATTAAAATAACCATTATTATATTGTATGAATATGAACTCCACCACTTTGCTTTTTGCACTAACTTTATTTCATAAAGAACTAAATTAAATACGTTCCGAGACCCAGATTTGTTCATCATCAGTGTAATTTTTTTACATTTATTATGAATCCAGCAATACTGAAGTTTCCCTCTAGTTGTTTATATTATAATCATATCTATTCTTTTGGATTTTGATCTCTAAGATTTCTTTTTTAAATATTCCTACACACAGTCACGTTGCAATTTTTTGTGAGCCCCCACATCATCAACTGCTAATTTTTAAAATTATTACCTTTTTTACTTTTTCTGTACTCTTGTAACGTTGGATTATTAAAAAAATAATAGTAAACTACAGTAAAGTTAAAAAATTTGTTGTCTTTTTTATGGTGATTTAACAATGACTTAAAATGCCTCCACACTAGAATACTCCCTCCAGGAAACACTGCCTTGGTTTTAATACATTATTAGTTGATTTTTTCTGATCCACAAGATTTGGAATTCACATTGGAATATACCAACGCCCAAAACATTTGAATAAACTTCGTAAATATTGCATCATCACTTTCCGAATTTGGACATTTATTGATATCGTTTATGCAATATATAAAATTATTTGCAATAAACAAAAAAAAATCAACACAAAAAAGTCTACAACTATCTGCATTCGTCACAATAGTCCTACAATAGTAGGCGCCTTATGTACCCAATAATAGTTCGATTTCTAAATAATATATAATATAAAAATATCAAAACATTCATTCATTCATTTTCAATCAACATAAAACAACACCCAAAGGTGTAAACATATTATAAGATTGTAAAATGATTCGATTAATTTTATAATAGTTATTTTTATTACGATATTTTGAATTATTTTCATAAAGTAATAATAATATAAACTTACATGAAATGACTTCTCTGTAGCACGTGCCATCAATTTCACAGATCAAATACAAAGGAATGAGCAAAATGCATTTTTATAATAATTTTCATTTTCAGGGAATGCCGTTATTCAGTCGAGGTTCAGCAATTCTGAAATACAATAATAAGACGTTTTTGAACAGCAAATATGAATGTAAATCAGAAAACAGGTAATGTAAAAAATTATATTATAATAAAAATTATAATTAAATTAAATTATATTAAATTATATAAATTATATTATAATAAGTAAAATCCTAGAGGGCATTAACATCAAGTAAAAAAAGAAAAGAAAAATTCTAAATCATCTTTATTATTTCAGACATTGCGATATAAAATTTTATATCATCAGTGTATATGATGTAAGGGGTACATTAATAATATCTACATATATATTTTATATATATAAAAATAAGTCGGGTTTTCCTTCCTGACGATATAATTCCAGAACGCACGAACCGATTTCGACAATTTTGCATTCGTTGGAAATAAATAGCTAAGAAAATTAGTGCATGGCATTGTGCCTTAATGCAAATTGCTGGAACTTCACGCACCGTAATTAAGAATTCGAGTAATGACATTTTTGAGAATTATCAGAATTGTTCTTAGTTAAGTCAACGAGCAATTCTTGCCGCAAAGAATAATGATGTACACGCACTGAATTTCACCATTCAATCAAAAACTGCTTGCGATTTGGTGACATACCAATGATTCCGACTGGTCTTCCGTTTGACTTCAAACGATTGCAATTTCCAGTTTGCCTTGCGTTCGCAATGACAACTAACAAGTCGCAAGGCCAATCGCTTAGTGTTTGCGGGAAAAATTTCAAATAGATTATTTAGAAAATCATTGTTTTTCACATGAGCAGTTATACGTTGCCTGCTCACGAGTTGGGAAACCATCCGCTTTGTTTATGTTAACGTCAGACCAAAAAACAAAAAATGTGGTTTACCAAAGAGCACTTCAATGAAACGGATAATTTGCGGATTCACTTTCATTTATTTAGAGAAGTTCAACTAAAAAACACTTCATTTTTGTAATCGAAATAAATTTATTACTGTTGTGTAATAAAATCAAATTTTTCGTTTTCAAATATAAAACAAAAAATGTCTTCATCTTTCTCACGAAACCATCTGGTGGCGAAACGGAGTTTCGTCGGGTTTGCTAGTTTATTTATGATAATTACGAATGGGTGCATACCCCTTACAATGAAAACAAATACAACGAAAATATAAAATATAGAATTTACACGCAACGCTACAAATGTCAGCAATGAGTCTTTAAGTAATTTTTCTCTAACTATTACAGACACTTGGATTTTTTAATCCAAACTGCATGTGCAATAAAAGTTTTAACCGAATGTCATATTATTAAATTTAAAAATATTTATTATAAATATGCAAAAAAATACATGAAGCCATCTTCAACGTGGACTAGAGTACGCTAAGGACTCTGTGGTACATTTTTCATTAATCGTGCAACATAAGAATTATACTTATATTATGGTATATCACGGATGGTACATTGCGTGAACACCATGCTTGAAACTTTTCGAGTCCGAATCCGAATTTTCCTGGGATGAATCAATTACTCTGTTTTATATATTTATTTTTGTTCTCAACATTTATTCAAATCCACTGACGATGTCAAGAAATGTCATACCAAAACGTCTGAAATAATAAAGATGCTAAAATCTTTACCATTCCTTCTTTTACTAGTGAAATGACAGAATTGGAGATAAAATTATAATCTTCATGACACTGGTAGAAATTGAAATATTTTATGAATAATGATTACCAAATATTTAAAATGTATATCTCAGGGCTGGATACAACAAAGATAACGTGGTCATAACATTGGATAACAAGCACACACCTGTGGGAGTGAACTACATCCATGTTCAACAACAGGATATGGTTAAGGACAGCGTATGTATCCTTATTAATTCACCATCGCAAATAAGCAACAATATTTGTCCAAAAATTACTATCGAGTTACATCGAATGATTTTTAAGTTTTTGAGAAAAAGGACATAGTCTCTAAACACTTTACAGTCTAAAATTAAGTTCTACAAAAATGGTTGAATTATAAAAAATCATTAAAGTTTGGAATATATAATTTCATACAAATGAGTTTTCCATAATATTTTTCAGAATATGAAACGAGTCGAAGTATACCATCTATACAACCGAACAGGATTCAATGTCACTGGAGAATTGCACATGCTGACGACGCCAACTGGACGCCGCCTGGAACTACTCGCCGTTCATACGAATCGAACGGTCCGATTGACAACTGAGCACGATGTCAAAGATCGAGAGTTGGAGCACAGGTCGCGCCTCCAATTGGCCACCAACGTCTGGCTGGCGTATAAATTCAGACTCTTGAACTACACCATGGTAAACCAGCTATATACTGGAATTAAGTACTTTTAGGGTTTCCAATACCAGGATTTCGGTCGATTCTTGTCCGGTACTCAATACCGGTATTTTGGTATTATCGATAGTTTTATAAAAATTGAATTTATTCAGTATGAGTTACACATACCGGGTCGAGTATGGTGTCAAGCGGCGGTGTCGACAATATTGTTTATGTTTTCATTCAATGAATAGATCTCGTTTATAAAAAGTATTGATACCAGGATTCCAATATTTCATTTTTCAAATACCAGTATAGTAAACCTTCGCTTTACGCGGCAAGTGCGTACCGTGCAATATGGGGACCGTGCTATAAAAAACTCGTATTCAACATACAATTCAGGCTAATTCGTAGTGCGTTCTATGGAAACTTATATAGTGCAGTATGGGAACCGCGCTATGAGAGACTCAGAGTTAGTACAAATCGTACCATTTTTATCGTGCTGTATGGAGATTAAGGAATACAACTTGAAGTAGGAGTAATACGGACGAAATGACATGTATCACATAGACACCTTATTCCAAAATTGGCGCGACGCAGTAGTCAGTTCAAACGTGTTCTTAGACAGCTGTTATATAATCAGGCATGTCTAAAAGATGAATGTCGATAATAAAACTTACATTAATACCCTTTTGATATTAGGTTCCTATAATCACTCATAGGTTGCGCAAGGAACTTGTGGGCTGTTGAACAAAAACCGTATAATAGGAAGTCGGAGGGATGTCGGAATTTTAGCTCCGCGTAGTATGGGTGTACCCAGAGTGCCGTGTAAACCGAGGTTTGGCTGTATTCAGATTTTTGTTCGGTATTGGAAGTCCTAAGTACTTTGACGCACAGATGTTTCAGAATTCTCCAACGACTCTATAAGTATTTCTCTATTTCATACATTTTTTTTCACAGATGACACAGGATGCCCAGAAATTCGAACTGGACATCTCGTATCCTCGTCGCAACTTAAGTGCCGTAGGGTCCTATCGACTCACAAACGAGTACATCCAGAGCGAAGCGACCCTAACCTGGGATAGAAACGTATCGACGCGCACGATGAGCGCAGGACTCGATTGGAGAAATGTTCCAGGAGAAGAAGGCAAACACACTCAAACAGCAACGCTCACGATTAAACATCCCTCATTCGAGAAGGTAAGATAATAAAAATATTATATTGTAGGGTAGAGCAGGGCTTAAAGGTCCGTGGAGAAACACGTCCACCACCGATATCTCAAAAAGCAGTAAAGTTAAGACTTTTTTACCAACAATATTTAAAAGTAGAGGGAAAAGGATGTATAACCAGCCACCACCTTGATTCTTTCGACGCCAAAATGTAGAGATAAACAGCAATGTTTACCATAACAAAAGTATTTTACTTCGTTGTTAGTTTTTTTTTTGGTTATAAGCACTGTGGTTTAGTTTACGAGACCTTAAGATAATTTATAAGTATGCGTAATTTAATTGTTTTATATAATTTATCGTTGTTTTTAAGTTAGATTCAACCGTTTTGTTTATATAACCTCTATAAAAGCTTACATCTGGGTGGAGGAAAATGAACCAACTAAACATTTAACCTGGCAAAGGTGCAAAAAATAATAATAATAATATCAAATAAAAAAGTATATTACAATTAATAATGCAATTTTACATGAGATAAATTGAATAAATAGTTATTCCATTCCAATATAAAAAATATCATAAAAAAGTATATTACATTAAATAAAGCAATTTTATAAGAGATAAATTGAACTAGTGGGGCGCATGGCATCGTGCCTTAAGGCAAATTGCTGGAACTTTTCGTTACAAAAATTATGATTTTTTTTTAAAACGATTAACATTTTAAAAAAAATTGTACTTCGAAAAAATTAGATTTTTGAGAAACTATAAATTTGACAAAATAATTTTGAAAAAAAAAATTCTTTCTTTATTTTGACATATTTTGGAAATTCTGAACTTTTTTCAAAGCAATCGTACTGCTTTAACTGCATAGAGACGAAATGTCAAAGCGCGTAAACGCCGCGTCGCCGTCTAACGGATAAACATTGGTACGGAACCCATAAGAATGTAAACAAAATTTATAATTATTGTTAAAATCTCTATAAAATATCTGATAATTTGATGTGCATATGTCTAATGATCATTTATAACCACCAAATGGCATTTTTTTTACTTTTTTCATTAGATCTCCGAAACCGCTAGACCTGCCTTCATCTCAATTCTTCATCTTGTCAATACAAGTAAAATGTTTTTTGAATTATTAAAATCGGACGCTCCGTTCTCTTAAAAACTGAGTTACCATTTTTGGCACTTTTTGCCGCGTATCTTTGGAATGGCTAGACCTGCCTTCGCCAAAAACTAATAAGCACTGAATTATTCAAATAGCTTCATCCGTGTTCCCGAAATCGTCGACGAAAATTTGTATCCGCACACACACACACACAAACAAATTTCTCAAAACTCAATTTTTCTAAGGTATGCCAAAATATTCAGAAACCTTTGAAACGTAAAGATATTTAAAAAATTTCATTTTCGATTTTTTTGCGATTACTATAACTTGCCCTGCGAGAGGTTAATAAATAGTTATTCCATTCCAAAATAAAAAATATCAAATAAAAAAGTATATTACGTTAAATAAAGCAATTCTACAAGAGATAAATTGAATAAATAGTTATTCTAAATCTGCTGATGAATATTTCTAACGTAATACCAGATAATGGTTATTTACAGAGTTATCTCTGTAAAAAATACACCCTTGATATTTATATTTTGCATTGGTTGAATAATTTGTAAAATTTCTTTAAAAATAAGAATACCTGTTTAAAAATAATAAATACCTGTTTGGCCACCTGGCCGTCCCAATTTACCTCGCCAATGATAGAAAGGACCAGGTTACAAATTTTTGAAAAACAGCAAACAAAACACATTTCTGCAATGATAAAGGAGCTGGGAGTTTTACTGAACATAGCCGGATTGTTGTTCGTGTGATAAATGTGTTATTTGTTGTGATATAATTGATTTGGTTTTCACAATATAATTGCTCCGAGTCAAATTGGACTCTTATGCCCCGCCCGACCCTATCGGCTTTTCACTAAAAACTGAACAATGCTGTTTACAATTGATAGATGTCAAACAAACTTATAATTACAGTATTGATCCAATTTATCATAAACAGAAAAATTTAGAACAAAAAATAACAAAAGAACTGCTTTTGCAGATTTTTTTGTAGTTGCTTTAAAGTGAGTATGAAATTATTACCTGACCTGGCCGAACTTAATTATCAAGATAAAAACAAAAAATAATCATCACGATTCGCAACTTAATTATGTCGAAGTTTTTGAATTTGTAAAATCGGTTCAGGCTTATCGAACTGACGAAAAAATATATAAATAAGCTTTAGTAGCTTACCTGCTAATTGTAAAATGACGGCTCGCCGATCATCGCGCAGACAAATCATCACCTTGTTGACTCTTATAAAATAGCACATAAACACTTTTTTCAATTTTGGTCCAAACGATGCAAAATGACCTGAAACAACGAGAATTTTATGGTGAAAACGAACTTTTCGTTCGGGAAGCTAAAAAACAACGTTAAGTTCAATACTAATAAGCTAATTATCTGATAAGCTTTTTATCTTACTACTTGCTTACCGTAAGATCAAGCAATTTACTTGTAATTCACAGTATGTAAAATATAAGTCGTGTGGACCAGATATTAATGGACCGATTCTGCGCATAACAGAGAAATGTTACGGCATAGCTATGTTACGCTCCGACTCCCATACATTATGCGAATGAATCATACTGAATGCTGTCAAAATATCATGTATTTGCTGTTCATTCCGGCGTTTTAAGCATAAACTGCAACGTCACTCGTATGTTATCTAAGAGGAATCAGAAACACACACTTATCTAACATCGTTTTTTTTGACATTTGTGCGGCTTTTAGGTTATGTTTTGCATCAAAAAACCTGAGAAATTCGCTTGACTGAACACCAACCGCATAACTTTTGTCTATATTACTATGGAAAATTATTCATAACATGATCTTATCATAACATTGCGGCAGAATCGGTCCCTAAATGTTCTCGCATTCTTACATTTATGTGAACTTGGAAATTCATAATAATTACTTAATTCATTAATTAAGTTTATATATTTGGTTTTAAAATTTGTTCACAATTTTTTATCAAAACAAATTTTGATTGATACTAAACATTCAGATTTATTCAAATATTTTAAAAATAAGTCTGCTTTATTATTAGCGTTTTTCTTTTACAGGACGTAACTTTCCGTGGAGAATTGAGACGTCAGAACGATCGTGAATTGTTGTATGCACGAATGTTTGTGGAATACTGCAATGATCCAAATAGTCTGGTCGAACTTTGCGGAAGTTTTCATGATAATTCTGACACCACACATCGGAACTACAGTTACAAAATCATTGCTGTTCATAAGGCAACTCAGCTTGATTTGGATGTAAGGTTGGTTAAAGTATCTAGAAAGATAGATTTTAAGAAAGTATCTTGGCTAATTAACTCAACCTCCTGGTTGGGTAAGATATCAGATTTACCCGGTAATTAAGATCTTCGAGATGAATTGATATAAATGATATGATTGCTTCCAATTGAAAAATTAGGTTTGGTCATCTCGCTCAATCAAATCAACTAGTTTAATATAATTCATTATTTATCCAACATGTTCTAAAAGATGAATTTCATCCAATTTTAGAGGAAGCTTAAGTGGGCAACCTGGTCTGTACAAAACATTCAATCACGGACAATATAAACGGTCTTATTTGCCGCTTCAGCAAGGAGAAATTGAAGGTACCATAGACGTACCAAACAAGGAAATTCTCTTGCAGGTATTTTTGCCATTGTCATCTTTTATTAAATTCGATAATTGATCCATTTCTAAAAATATTGATTCATGCACAAACAATGATAAAGCAAGCAAATCTACATGATAAATTTTATTTCCTTAAATTATTTATCTTTCAGAAAATCAACATGTTGGCTGTATCTCGACTATGGGGTCGTGCAGTTATGCATTATCCTTACTACCAAATTAATGGCACACTATCAAACAGAGACATCGATTCTAAGGGTGAATTCTATCTTAACATGGACGAAAAGTTGATCAGAATGGATGTTAATATGACACCAGGTAAAGATAATTTTAATATTGTAATTAAAAGGACCTACAGATATAATTCTTGACGCCATAATTTTTATTTTGAGTAGATGCTTCCCAGTCAATGCATGTTTTTGGTACCATTCCTGATGCCAGAAGCGCTTCCTTTAACGTTTGGAGAGATTACGAAGATATAAGAGTTAGTGACGTCTCATTTTATTGGAGATTAAATCATTCGAAATTGATTACTGGTCAGTTGACATGGAGACCGAAAATCAAAGAGGACATGAAGGTAAATAGTGCTACGGAGTGATACAGCATTAGAAGCATCAGATCTTTGAAATCTATAATTTTTATATTATTGAAATATAAAATTGAAGTAGTTTAGATTTCCCTTACTTCATAATTGTTTCGTATTCATGGCATACTACCGGATTAAGAAAAATTATCCAAAATCTGTCCAGAAATGCTATTAGAATCTGCGAATACATGGTCTGTTCAAAAAGTACCCGGAATTACTAATAATTAAATTTCGCGGGTCTGGAGTGTCTGATTGTCAAAATTTTTTTTTTATTGTGTTGGTATACATGCCCCTAAAGTATGATGAAATTTTCAGCTATATTCACTGTTTACTTTGTCTGTGGTAGTCGCTAAGGTTCTGTGACGTGTTTTTCTGAGCTCGGCGATTTTTACAATGGAAGAATTGAAAAAGTCAAAGAATTTGTATTAAATTTTGCGTAAAAAATGAAATAAAGTGTTGCAAAGTGCAAAAATTCACCAGATATGGCTCCGTGTGACTTTTTCCTATTCCCAAAGTTGAAGAGACCCATGAAAGGACGGCGGTTTTCCTCGATTGAAGAAAATCGCCGAGAGTGCTCAAGGACATATCAAAAAGTGAATATCAAGGGTGCTTCGAAAATTGGAAAAAACGCTGGCATAAGTGTATTATATCTGGGGGGGGACTACTTTGAAGGGGACCACATTAATGTAGACGAATAAATAAATATTTTTTTGAAAAAACGAAAATTACGAAAACTTTTTGAACAGACCTCGTATATTGATTATTTCATGAAATTCTTTTTCTTACTTTTTAGGGATTCTTGCAATATGTGGCAGTATATATTTATGACAGTATAAACGAAAGTGCAGATTATTGGCGCCAATATATTCGGACGGAAACAATGGATGCAATAAAAGATGTCTGGCAGGACGCTGAGCCCTATATTCAAAATTATTTGGATGAACTACAGTATGTAAAAATCTTCAACTTTAAAATATAATAATAAAATTATAAAGAAAATATTTAAATATAAAATATCAATAGAATAATTGACTATAGCTCTTTGTGCTTTAAATTGTATAACGACTACCAATTTTTAGCGCTTATTTAAAATAAAGTTAATACTTACAGTTATGATGATTCAGAAAATACAAAAATAGGAGTTTAAATCCAAAAAATATAGATATATAGATTCAAAAAGTTTTACAATAAACGAGGTTATTAATTGCGCTTTAAGAAAGTCAAAATATCGAAAAAACGTTAACAATTAGTTTATTTTATTCACAATTAGTTTATATATAAGACTAAAGAGTAAGTAGTAGTAGTACAGTATTCATATAAAAATTGTATAAATTTTTAATTTGAAGTATGTGTAATAATTTCTTTAAACAGTTGAAACTTTGTGTGAAAATAATATTCTTGGGCTTGAATCATTATTGATGCTGTCACGAATGTTAGTCAATAGTTCAGTAGTCAATGGTAATTCATCAAAATCATCACAATCCTCAAGTTCTGATCGATCTTAAAGCTCTCAAACACACTATTTTTTCCAAAAATGTGCTCAAAAATTATGATTGAGATGCTAATTAAATAAATTGTGCTAAGAACAAATATATATATATATATATATATATATATATATATATATATATATATCTTCTTCCTTCAGTGGTCTTAAGGTGCTAGAACAAGATTTTGAAGAATTCCGAAACTTTTTGAACCAATCCTACTACTCAGACGATTTCTACATCCAGGATATTGTAGGATTTTTCAATTATGTTATTGATGAACTAGCAATCAGAAGTCCAATACAGTCGTTGCCGGATATTATTAATGAAATTTGGGAAATCATGGGCGAATCTGGTCAAGCGCTTCGTAAATCTATATTATGGCTTATAGAAACGGTAAGCAAAGCAAAATTCTAAAAAAATATGATACTTAAGTATATCCTTTCATAGTAAATTATCATTTTCCAGGCCAAAGCCTCTTACAAAAAAGCAGTGGAACTGATATCAAAAATTTTGCACGGCGATTCTATGACTGAAATAACAGCGATATTGGAAGGAATAATTGAAAGATATGATAAATTTATCAAAGATCTTCATGTGTCCTTTATAAAATACATGGAGCAGTTGTGGGTAACAGCAAATGAATACATAGAATATCATTGGAAAAAAACTATACAATCTTTAGAGCCGTCGTTTATCAAATTCGTCCACTACGTAGAAACCATTGTATGGAAAGTCAGCAGAGAAGTTCTTGGTAAGTAAAATTAAATTAAATTTGAAGGCAAATAGTGTTTATACACGTAGTCAAATTTAAAATATAAAATAGAAAAGTCAAAAATCTAAATATATAATTATTTTTAATAATTTGTTTCTCAACAGACTTCCTCTATGTGAGAACAAACGAAATTGCGGAACTGCCTTACTTTACCAAATTTACCGATTTTACTCAAGACTTAGATCATATATACAAAGATTTCACAGCAAATGATATATTTACTAACATATATAAATATTCAAGCCGAGTCTGGAATTTCTTATGTGAAAAATATTTCCGACTAATACCATTTAGCAAAGAACTACAGGACGTTGCCGATGAGATTATGGAAGAGTTTAAGCAACTACAGGTATATATATATATATATATATATATATATATATATATATATATCGATAAAGATTTATTTTTATAGATTAAAAAACTATGCCGGTTGTAGTTATAACTAAAATTTTTTTTTCTTAGTTTCTCAAATAGTGAGTTAAATTTTACCAACAAGTTAATTTAGTAGTTATATTTCCATAGAACAAAATTTATTAGATCTGCATCTATTAGTTTTAATATATTAGTGAAGTTGTTTTCGAAGCCAAACCCGATTTTGACAAACTTGTTTAACACATGTTCAAATAGTCTAAAAGTGTTTATTTAATATCTCTGTATCTCAATTAGGAACTACCATCATTCAAATACATCTTAGTCAAAGTGAGAGAAATTGAGAATAAGATAACATGGTTCTTTGACTATTTCGAAGTGAAATCACACTTACAACATGCTCTGAAACTACTTAGGACAAAGTTGACGGAAATTACACAAACTGCACTCCAAACGGAAAATATGTAAGTACTTAATATTATAAGTCAGAATAGTTGTACATTCTAGAGAAAACATCACACGTCAAGAAAGTTTTTCATATCTAGATGAATATTATTTTTAATCGTACTTTTTTTAAATTTTCCATAAGGCAAATAATTTAAATAGTAACTAAAAACAAAGATGTTTTTTTATTAAACTCGCTAATCATTTTCATAAGTTTACTATATAAATGTTCACCATCTTTTTGAAAAAAATGCTAAAGCAATTCGGGTAATTAAATTCGTGATGAAAATGCGTTAGTTTTATGAAAAGACAGGTCTAGACGATTCGGTTACTGAATGAGAAGCTATCTCGCTTCTTTGAGACCAAAAACAAACATTTGACGTTCTTATAAAATCATCAGAATTTCTGTATAAATGCATATTTTTATTTTACTAGATTTTAAGTTCCGAACCAAATATACTGCATAGAATTGTAACCTTGTCCAATAAAATTTTAAAACTGATATATACGAAAGAAAAATATTTCTAGTCAAATTAAATTACTTTTACCAAAATTTTAAAATAATCTCATTCAAGTCAATTGTTTAACTAGTGGGGTGGCATCGTGCCTTAGGGCAAATTGCTGGAACTTCCCGTACCGTAACGAAATGTTCGAGGAATACTGAATGTTTTCAAATAGATTATTATAAATATTGTAACATTGTCTAATATTTATAAGAATTATATAAACTGAATTGCAAAGTTGAAATTATTTGTTTCAACAAAAAACAAAAAAAAAAAAAAATGGGACAAAATTTTTTTTCCCAAAATCAATTATTTTGTTAAGACAAGCAGAAAGTTTTTTGAATCATTCAAATCGGACGCTTACTTCTATCAAAAACTGCTATTTTTTACATATTTAGCTCCGTATCTTCGAAATGGCTGGGCCTGCCTTTTCCAAAAACTAATAAACACTTCTCCCAATCATTACTAATTGAATGTTTTTTAGATCATTCAAATCGGATACTCCGTTCTCTCAAAAATTCGATTTCTATTTTCCGCACTCTTTGCTCCGTATCTCCGAAACGGCTGGACCTGCCTTTGCCAAAAACTAATCAGCTCTTTTCCCTATCAATAGGAATCGAATGTTTTTTGAACCATTCAAATCGGTTGATCCGTGCGCCCTAAAACGTGACTGGAAATTTGTATCCACACATACATACACACACACACACACATACACACACACATACACACACACACACACACACACATCCATTTTTTCTGAGGTATGCCAAAACGTTCAGAAACCTTCAAAACGTCGAGAAATGTAAAAATTTTCAATTCCGATTTTCGGCCCATTACAATAACTTACCCTACGGGAAGTTAAAAAGATGCAAAATTTGGATGATTTGCAAAAGTAATTCGTGGTATTTGATATGGCATTGTGCGTTAGGACAAACTGCTGGAACTTTTTTATATTTAGAAATATTTTGGAAATTTTGAACTTTTTTTCAAAGCAATCGCGCTGCTTTAACTGCATAAGGACGAAATATAGAAGCGCGCAAGCGCCGCGTCGCAATCTAACGTACGAACAATATTACGGAATTCATAGAAATGTAAACAAAATTTATACATAATAATAAAATCTCATCATTTCTGACCGCCAAATGGCATTCTTTTTTACTTTTTTACTAGATCTCCAAAACCGCTAGACCTGCCTTCCCAAAATGATCAGTCAGGATCTTGTCAATACAAGTAAAATGTTTTTTGAATTATTCAAATCGGTCCGTCCTCTTAAAAACTGAGTTATAGTTTTTGCCACTTTTTGCCCCGTATCTTCGAAACGGCTAAACCTGCCTTTGGCAAAAACTAATCAGCTCGTCTCCTTATCAATAGGAATCTAATGTTTTTTAAATGATTGAAATCGGTTGAACCGTGTTCCCGAAATCGCCGATGAAAATTTGTATCCGAACACACACACACACACAAACCATTTTTTCTAAGGTGTGCCCAAAAGTTTAAAAACCTCTGAAACGTAAAGATATATAAATAATTGCATTTTCGATTTTTTGCGATTACTATAACTTACCCTACGGGAAGTAAACTGCTGTCTGTACGAGCCAGCAAGCCGCCAAATATTTATTATACAAAATATTTGAAGAGTCCAATGAAATCATTGTCAATAATGAAAATGTAATTACAAATTATAAATTATTTTTCTTAAGAACAATCACAATAACAAATTAGAACTGTCAATGATTTAACTCCGAGTGATAAATATTGAAGCAAAAGTCGTTACTGATTGTGAGTCGGAAGTCGAGCACAATTCATTTTTTTTTTCATAGTCTTTCAATCTACTGTCCCTAATAATTAAAAAAAATACATCTTATTACCAGGTACAGAGAAGCAAAAACCAATTTCATATTTGATCCAGAAACTGGGTTGATGAAGTTAGAACAAAAACTACCAATGTCCTGGCATGCTTTCAATGAAACGCCAAAGTTTGAGGTACTTTATAAATTATATTACACAAATTAAAAACTATCATATAACAATTAATATAAAAATATGATTTTCAGGAAATACCGGAGTTTAAAGCTATTAGTAATTTGCAATCGTACTTAGAAGTTTCGAATACAACATTCTGGACACTTTACTATGAATATAAACCAGTAACTGAACCCAGCACGTGGTTGCCACCATTTAAAGGTACACAATTACATTTAATTAGAAATGTAAAACAAGATCTCTGCTGAGATGATAATTACTTTGATAATTTGCTGATTTTTAACATTCTGGATGGTCGTGCCTTTGGATCATCCAGATAATAACCTATCAAATTGATCAACTAAGAATGCAGAAGAGACTAATAATTTTTCTACTGCCCCAAATAGAATTATTTAATTTATACTTGATCTGTTTAGAACTTCATATATTGTCTCTCTTAAAGTCTAGATCGATTTTTGTTTATTAAAACAATATTTATTTGGAATTAGCTCATGCGGTCATCGTCGGTGGATCTCACTACATATCTTTCGATGGGCGATATACCAGTTTCGAAGGAGATTGCAGTTATTTGCTGGCTCATGATTTCCTGGATGGCAACTTTTCAATAGCACTTAGTGCACCACGCAGCCAAAACTTCACAAGACGTTTTTATATTCAAACTGCAGGGGTTCTGGTGACCGTCGATATATCTGCAAAGGTAAATTCTTCCCTTTCCTGATTTTATAGACGTATGTTGAACTATATAGGACTTCATTTTGTTGATCAGACATATGCACCCAATTTGCCGTGATGTAATATTTCATATCAATATTTGCAGCATATACACGTGATTCTTAACGGAGTGAAATATACTCGACTGCCAATGTATTTGGAGCACACCTTAATGTACCGAGATTTTGATGTCTTCATCATAGAATCCGACTTGGGCTACACGATTGAGTGCAACTTACAATATGATATCTGCATTGTCAAATTAACTGGTATGGCCAAAAAATTTGGAACATATACCATATTATATATGGATTTTTATTACTTGATTTTCAATAGGTTGGTACTTTGGAAAAACTGCTGGATTATTAGGAACAATGAATAATGAACCGAGTGATGACATTATTACATCGAAGAAGCAAAAACCAACAACTTTGCAGGAATGGGCAAAATCCTGGAGCCTCGACATCGAACAATGCTCAAAGAATAAGGAGGCGCCAATGGTTCCACAGGCACCTCCACAAATTATGGACACAGTTCTCGAGTTATGTGACGGATTTTTCAAAAATAAAGCGTCTGCGTTTGCTGCATGCTTCGGTGTGGTAAGTTGAAAAATTATTAAAATTAGTGAAGAGTTACAACTCGATGGTTTGATGTGAATTTCACTTCTACTATAACGTAGTTGGGTCTCATAAATGCATATGATTAGTAAGGTCACAATTAGTAAAGTTGAACTTCGAAAACCATCTTTGGCATTTACATTATATTTAAATTTTTATCCAATTACCAAACAGGTTGAAGCTGATCCGTTCTATAATATTTGCGTAAATCAAGTGAAAAACAAATCCACTGAAAGATTATCTAAAATGGCAGCATGCAGTGCGGCAGTTGCATATCAGCAAGTGTGCACTTTGCAGCATACACCATTGAGGATTCCAGACACTTGTGTGCAGTAAGAAACAAATTAATATTTAGTTATTGTTTTAAATCGTTACCTAGTAAGCTATAAGAAAACTAGACTCAAATACGGCCAATAACATTTATTGTATCCACGTTTTTTAGAAAAAAAAAACAGGAGTTGATCCAGATTTATCAAATCATGTATGAAAATATTTTGAGATTTTTATTTTTTACTGATTGTGTGGTTTGATATATTTAACTAGTTGGTATTGGTATTTAGCCTTGAGGCAAGTTACATAAACTTTCCGATATGTGTGTATAATCGACTTAATCAATAAAACATAAATTAATTTATGAGTGATTAAAAGTATTCCGAGTGGATTTATTACACATCATTGAAAACAAACGAACATTCTATACCAAGTAAATCATTTAATTTTCATTTTAACACACTTCAAAAAATCTACTCATTTTCTCAAACTCTGATGAATTTTTAAAGTTAAACTACTTGTCGTAAAACCGTAATATTTTAGTAAGTTCTATAAGACCATGATATATATCGTCAAAAAAAGTTCCATAAAAATCGGTTTTAATTATTTTCAACAGTTAATTACAAGAAAACGGCTCGGTAAATTTTCACCTAAAATTAATCAGTATCATTCCCAACTAATGTCTTTCAACAGTTTTTGATTTCTTAAAATCGATTCGGTAGTATGAGCTTAAATGTGGAAAAAAATTTAACACTTTTTTCCAAATAACAAAGAAACGGCTCGGCCGATCGTCGCACAAAACTGAGAAACGATAATCCTCATCGAGATACATCAAATGCTTTTTAAATTTCTGAAATCGGTTCAGGCGTTTTTGAGCGAACGTCGATGAAAGTTCTAATTTTGACAAATGCCAAAAAGATCATACTAATTTTTGCAAACTTTGACGAATTTTTATAGCTAAACGACTTGTCGTAGGGCCGTAATATTTTAGTATAATCTAGAAGACTATGATATCTACCGTCAAGAAAATAATCATAAAAATCATCAAAATTTTTTTTAAAAAAAACTTTATTACAAAAAAACGGCCCGGCCGATCTTTACCAAAAACTAATCAGCACGATTCCCAACCAATATCTTTCGAACGGTTTTTGAATTTTCAAAATCGATTTAGAATTGCGTACTAAAACGGAGACGAAAATTTTTTCACTTTTCTGCGATTCATGAAGAAACGGCTTGGCCGATCGTCGCACAAAACTGACAAACAATAGTCCTCATCGAGATACAGCGAATGGCTTTTAAAATCGGTCCAGTCGTTTTTGAGAAAACGTCGATTTACGGCAAAAAATCTGTTCACTCACACGCACACACACACATACTTTTTCCAAGTTTGGTCTCATTCGATTCAGAATGGCTTGAAACGTCGAGAAAACATAATATTAGCAATTCGGATTTTTTTATGAAAACATGAACTTCTCCTTCGGGAAGTTAAATAGTTTAATTTTTTTTTCTTTGTCTATTTTGCGTAATATTTAATGTATTCCATTATATACCACGCCGGTGTAACATTTGACCAGGGAACATTCTTTTGTTTTATAAGCTTTTATTCTGTTTTATTTCAGCAAACCGTTGTGAAATGTAGTTCTATCAAAATAGTCGAGAATTATTTACAAAAATTATCAAAATTTTAGACAGAATAAAGCTTTCAGTAAAATTTTATTTGAAAACGTATGAAGAATGATTTCTTTGGAAAGTAACTTTTTACTTAAAAAATGTTGCACAAAACAAGTCAGTACATGCTTTTTGAAGATAGAATACACATCATTAGTTGCGTATTCGTGAGAAAAGATCATCAACCAATTTGACCAATAAGCATGATTACCATATAAAATTCGGAGTAAAATATTATTTGCTTCCGAATATATTAAGTTTGTATTATTTTTTTGAGTTAGTTCTTCAAATTATGCTTTACACAACCTAATATGCTATACATTATAAAATTGTATCAATGATCAGTCTGGAAAATTATTACCGTAAATCATCACTGTATAATTTTCTTAAATTAAGAAAAGTTAGTTCAAATATGGTTGATGAATTTTAGAATCTTCATTTGCAAAAAAACTGAACAAAATAAATTATTTCATTTGTCTTGTCTGCAACTTGTGCCCGTTTGAAATTTCCTCTTATTGCTAGTTCGAATTTCGATTTTTTAATTATATTTATTTAATGCTTATTTGAAAAACATTTCATTTAGCATTTTTCTTAACAAGTATGAACCAGCAAAATCATCAGTCAATTCCATTTATTGCCATTATTATTTTACTATATTATGTCATAAATATTTTAATCATCCAACCTTAGATGTGAACTGATCAATGGGTCTAAATTAAACGAAGGCGAAAGGATACAGTTTGACCCACAAAAATCACCGAGAACTGCTGATATTATTTTCCTAATTGACTCCAAATCTTGTAATGAAGACTTGCTGATCAAGAAGAGCGCTATTGCGTTGATCCAGTCTATAGAAAAGGAACTCCAAGATTTGAATATAACACAAAATCGGTAATTTTCAGTTCAGCTTAGTAGAAATCGTGCCAATATTGTAATTTGATGTTGAATATTTTGTATTTTTTTAGTTATAGCATTAATGTTTCAATTTTAATTTATTTCTCAGATATGCTGCTGTCATATTCGGAGGCGTAGGAGCCGCAACTACGCCAATCAGCGTCGTTATAAATAATGAAATATTTACCGATCACTCGAACTTCAACATGTACCTGGATCCCAGTATCATCGGTAAATATTAAATCATTTTATTTACAGTTAACCCTTCGATAACGCGATGAGTGCGTACCGTGTAAAATAGAATATCCGCGCTATACGACACTCCTATTTACAATAAAATCCGAACTAATTCGCAGTGGGTTCTATAAAAACCGACTATAAGAATTAGTGTAAATCACAGCATTCGTACCGCGTTATATGGTGACCAATAAATAAGCTAGATGTAGGGGAAATACGGACAAAATGTAATTGTAATTGTAATGTATTTGTAAACTGCTTTCTTAAAAATTAGCATCTCAGTATGTCCTTACTCTCAGTATGTTTTTGTAATAGGTTGCACTTTTGCTTAATAAATATTATAGTTCATACTTAATAGTATATTACTGGTGATCAATGAACCAAAGATGAGTAAAAACGATTGAGACTGGTTATAATATCATTAAATGAATAAATATCACTAAAAAACAAAATGCCATGTCATTATGTCCGTACTTCACCTAAGTGAATTTTTGTTTTGAGGCAAGTTGCATCAGCATTGCAATATGTGCAAATAATCGACATAAGCAATAAGAAATCAATATATCCGTGTTTTGCAAGTTCTTCCATTTTGTACAAAATCTACAACTATATTACTTATTTTTGACAAATGATTTAAAACATTATTTTTGCAAACTTTAATTGATATTTTTTATAAATAAACCACTTGTCGTAGGCCCTTAACTCATAAAATGTTTCATAAAAATGTCCCATTTAAGCCGATCGTTCCGAGAAACTAATTGAAGTTAGTCTTTATAAAGTATCATCAAAAAGCTTATAAATTTTTCAAATCGGTGCTCACATATCGACACATATATTCTTTTTCTTATTTTGGTCTCGAACGATTCAGAACGACTTCAAACGTGGAGATAAACATAAAGCTATCATGTCAGATTCATATACAATAATATAAATAATTCATATAAATATTAATCATTGATATACAAATGAAATTATTAGTACGCAAGTATACAGGTAGACCCTCGATGTTAGGTAGATAGAAAGCTAAACAGGTAGAAAAAGAGATAGGTAAAAAGTATAAAAGTAAACAGGTAGGCATATAGACAGGAAGGCAGAGAGACTTGTACACAAATAGACAGGTTGACAGGTAGAATAGTGGACAAAAAGATACACATGTAAATAAGTAGACATGTAAACAGAATACTTATCTGATCATTTACAAATTAAATTACTAAATCTATTAATTACACATACCGGAAAATGCATGCAAGTTGCATTTAAGCAAAACGCCACTTAAACCTCGTTGAAAATTAGCATCGTGTGCACAATCATATCTAACATATATCCATTTGTGACTTTTTCTGCCTTGTAGTCTTCAAGTGAATTTGAGATTTTTTCATAAAGTCTGAGTTAACATCTTGATAAATACCAATTATTGACTTTTTTCCTATGATTCACAAGCTTCGTTACTTTACTAAATTTCGTGTATCTAAAAACATAATATAAATATTTATAGTTTAATTCTGAGCCAGTCTCCATACACATTGAATAGAATTGGCAAAACATAGTTGACAAAAAAATGTTTAGAATTAGAATGAAATTGCTCGATTTTTGTAGTTAATAAAGAAAAAATAATAATGAGTAGTAATTCAGTAGTTTCGTATCCAAGAGCCGTAAAGCAACAATTGCTTATTTTTAGTTTAGGTCTTTCCAACTTCTGCAAATAAGTAACAGTATAACTAGTGGTGCATGGCATTGTGCCTTGAGGCGGCAAATTGCTAGAGCTTCCCGTACCGAGAACTAAATTTTTTAAAAAAAAACTTGAAAATTTTTTCAAAACTGAAAATAACTAATTTTTGAGCATTTTGAAATTTTTTAAAAAATTAGACATTTTTCGAAAATTTAAATTTTTTTTATATTATGAAATTTCTTGAAAATGTTGAACTTTTTATTAAAGCAATCGCGCTGCATAGCTGTTTTAGAGCCGAAATATCGAAGCGCGTAAGCGCTTCGTCGCAGATTAACGTGTAGAACATTGGTACGAAACATATGTAAATGTACACAAAATTTGGTAATATAATGTGCATATGTCTAATGATCATTTTTGACTGCCAAGTGGCATTATTTTTTACTTTTTGTATTGGATCTCCGGAAACACTAGATCTGCCTTCTCAAAAATTTTACCAGTTGTTCACTTGGTGAATACAAGTAAAATGTTTGAAAAAATGAATTATTGAAATTGGACGCTCCGTTCTCTCAAAATCTGAAATACCATTTTTGGCCCTTTTTGCGCCGTATCTTCGAAATGGCGAGGCCTACCTTTGCCAAAAACTAATCAGCTCGTCTCCTTATCGATAAAAACTAAATACTTATTAAATCGTTTAGATCTGTTGATCCGTGTTCTCGAAATCATAGACAAAATATTGTATCCGCACACACATACATCAATTTTTTCTAAGGTATGCCGAAATGTTCAGAAACCTCTAAAACGTAAAAATATATTAAAAACTTCATTTTCGATTTTACTGCGATTACTATAACTTACCCTATGGAAAGTTAATAATATGCATTAAATAAAGTAATAAGAATTTTTTGAAATCATTTTCCACAATCATAGTTGATTAAAAATGTTAAATGGATTACACGTATGATTATATTTTAGGTTCTAAAGAGAGTCTTTCAAAGGGCGATGCAGAAGGTAGTAAAGATATATTTGAAGCGGTTGCATTTGCGAGCAAATTAGTATTTAGACCAGGAGTATCGAAGATATTCATCACATTACCATGCTCAACTTGCAATCCAAAAGATATGAAAGTAAGTTCACTTCCCTAACTATCTAAGTTTAATTAATTTTTAATGAAATTATATTTAAAAAAAATATGAATTCTAAATGCGTACCACAATTAAAACAAAACGAGCCTTTTATAATCCAATTTAATACACACTCTGATATATGGAAAACATGAGTTGTCAACTGAAACTATTATGGTAGACGCATTTTAAATAAAAAACAATCCTTTAAGTATAAAGTTAGCACACATAAATTTTATTATCAGAACATACTTACTTCTGACCATTGTTACCAAGTGTTATGTTTCAAAGCAATAAATAACACTCATCACACAATTTTTAATTCATTTTACAAATTTCAAAATAACCGACAACAAAAACATTTTTACTTCTTTTTGTCAAAGAAAAAAACAAGAACGCAAAGAACGTGAACTGTAACCATCATGTTGAAAAAAAAAATCAATCAAGATCCTCCTACTAATTTTTCTCGATTTTATTCATCAATTTTATTTGCACTAATGTTTCGTCTCTAAATTATTTAATAGCTGGATTACGCTGCTATAAATTCCCTCCTGCTGGAAAGTGGCATAAAACTGCACATGCTGATCAATGAAGAATTTACCTTTGATAAAGTGAAAACAAATAAAGCATTTTACGGTTCGTAAAAATACAATACAATATATGAAACAAAATATTATTTACTAATATAATTATCGTATTATTACAGGTATCGATCAAGTCACCGCATATACGAAAAAAGACGTCAATGGACTGATTGGAGACAAGGAACTGAGAGACTCGGTGAGACTTCCAAAAGCTACTTTGGGATATTGTTCCAGATTGGCACTAGGATCCAATGGTAATTAATTATGAAATAATACTATTTGATTTATCCAGGAAAAAACAGCACAGTATTTTACAAACACGAGCACAGCAACATAATTGAAATGATACTTGTATAATTTGTGATTTCCTATTACCAATTTAAGGCATGGACAGTAATAGAGTAATATCAAAATAGACAGCAATTACCGAAAAAAATAAATTTTAAAGGTAGAGTCGTGTCCAAAGGTTAATTGTTTGTAATGTGGCAATAACATCATCATAACCAATCGTATTATAGTAATCAGTAGCAAACCACAAAAAATTAAGTGTATGCCATCACGTCTTAGGGCAAAATGCTGGAACTTCCCATATTGTAATAAACATTATAATTTTTGTACGGAGCCCACAGATATGTGAACAAAATTTGTACTTATTATTGAATCTCTATTAAATGGCGTTTTTTTACTTTTTTAATTTCATCTTTAAAACCGCTGGACCTGCCTTCCCAAGTATTAAATCAATTCTTCATTCCTTCGATACAAATACAATTTTTGCACTTTTTTCCTGGATCTTTGGAACGACTGGAACTGCATTTGCCAAAACCTTTTCCGATACCAGCCAAAAAAGTGTATTCGCACATACACACACACACAAACACATACATACATTTTTTCTAAGACATGTCAAAATGTTCAGAAGACCTTGTAAAGATATGCAAAAAATTTCTCTTTCGATTTTTTTGCGATTACTATAACTTACCCTACGGGAAGTTAAGTATACTATTATCAAAAAATTAAAATACTTTTCAAAATAATTCAAAAATTCATTGGTTTACAAAAACTGTTACTGCAAACGTTAAGTACTGGCTATCTTCGAATATTTAGAAAGATGTTAGATTGTTTTCACAACGGTTTGAAAAAGAAGATTCAATGTACCGTGAACAAAAATAATTTTTTGTCAAAACAATAATGGGAAAAGCCATTTCTTTTATAAATGTGATCATAAATTTCTTTTATATCACACCTTGCTTATCGCAAAGTAATATAATTTACTACGGTTTCACAACGTGTTCAATATAAAAATATCGCGCACGCATGAACTCTTTTATTCCAAATATAATTAATTTTTCTGTAGATAACAGAGCCATCTTATCCGAAAATAGGCCTATACATTATATATTAACTAGAGATGCATTGCATCGCGCCTCAAGGCAAATTTCTAGAATTTCTCGAAAAGCTTCAAGTTTTCTTGAAAATATTGATACTTTTTTCATTGCGACAGCGCTGCATAACTGTTTGAAAGGGCGAAATATCGAAGCGCTTAAGCGCCGCATTGCAGTTTAACGGTTCAATATTTTAAATCTTGGTACTCAGACAAAAACAAAAAAAATTGTACTTATTATTAAAGTCTAATAATTATTTTTGACCGCAAATATGGGGTTTTAACTATTATCATTGCATCTGCGAAACCGCTAAACCTGACTTCCTAAAAATTTAACCATTTCTTCATTCCGTCAATTAAATAAAATATTTTTTGAATCATTTAAATCGGACGTTCCGATCTACCAAAAATTGAATTTGCATTTTTGCACATTTTGCTCCGTATCTTCGAAACGGCTGGGCCTGTCTTAGTCAAAAACTAATCAGAACGTCTCCCTACAATAGGAATCGAATGTTTTTTGAATCATTCAAGTCGGTCAAAATCCATGCTCTAGTAATCGTAGACCAAAATTTGTATCCGAACATACATACATACATACCCAGTGCTGGATTTACAGTAGGGGCAGTAGGAGCTACTGCCCAGGGTGGCAAATTTCCGGAGGCGGCAAAATTTGCGTAGTAAAAACAAAATTTTTTTCTCAATAACATTTTTTATTCAAAAAATATAATTAACAAAACATAATACGATTGCAATGCAAAATCTGGCAATTTTGCTAATAAAAAGATTCGTAAATGAGCTGAAAGTTTAAGAAAAGTATGTTCTTCAGATCGCGAGCACTCTTAAGATGACGAATTTGTGCACTTCCAGCTTATAGTGCCGAAAAAAATTAAACTAGTGACGCATGGCATTGTGCGTTACTGAAATTACCCGTACTAAAAATTACATTTTATAAAGAGCTTTGAAATTTTTCGAAAAATGAAAAAAATTGAATTTAAGAAACCTTTTTTGATATTTTGAATGTTTTAGAAAATTATGAACTTTTATTTATTAACCCTTTCCACTCGCGAATTCCGAGATTTATATGAATTTTGTCGCCGGAGCGGCGGCATCCGAGTGGAAGAAAGGGTTAAATTTATTAAAATTGAATTTTATTTGAATGATAACGATTCTTATTTAACGAGACGTGCAGATTAGTTATTAGTCCAAGGCAGGTCCAACTTATTCGAAAAGACGGGCCGAAATGTCAAAAATGATAATTCAGTTTTTGAGAAACGAAACGTCCAATATCATTAAAAAAATTATATGTATAGACAAAATGAAGAACTACATAAATTTGTGGGAGACAATTCTAGCGGTTTCGGTGACCTAATAAAAAAAAATTCGAGATTTGAAAAAACATTTGGCGGTCAGATATTTTAATAATAAGTATAAATTTTGTTTACATTTCTATGGGTTCTGTAACATTGTATATCCATGATATTGCGACGCAGCGCTTAAAAATACAAAAAACTCAAATTTTTCAAAAAATTAATTTTTTTTCAAAGTTTTCACAATATTTTTTTTTTTTTTAATTTTAATTTTTGGTACGGGAAGTACAAGCAATTTGCCGTACAAGTAATTTGCGATGCCAAGTACCACTATTTATAGTATGTAATGCGAAATGAATTTTAAAAGAATTTAAAATAATTTTTTACATAAAAACAGTTTAAGTAAAAATCCTGGGATGAGGCGGCATTTTTGTCAGTACGCCAGGGCGCCAAATTTTTAAATCCGGCCCTTTACATACGACACATATACACATACGCCCTTTTTTGTTTGCGATTACTATAACTTACCCTACGTGAAGCTGAAAATTGTGTCTGTATCGACGATAAAATGATTGACGACTAGCTGTAAGTGGAATTCTGTCTTGAGGCAATTATGGCATCGTGCCTTAAGGCAAATTGCTGGAACTTCCCGTACCGTAACGAAATGTTTGAGGAATACTGAATGTTTTCAAATAGATTATTATAAATATTGTAACATTGTCTAATATTTCTAAGAATTATATAAACTGAATTGCTATAACAAACTATAGTCAGAATTAAAAATAAAATCTGAAATATTTTCGATATACAAAAAACTAAAAAAAAAAAAAAAAAAAATTGGAACAAAATTTTTTTTCCAAAATCAATTATTTTGTTAAGACAAGCAGAAAGTTCTTTGAATCATTTAAATCGGACGCTTAGTTCTCTCAAAAACTGCCATTTTTTACAAATTTAGCTCCGTATCTTCAAAATGGTTGGGCCTGCCTTTGCCAAAAACTAATAAACACTTCTCCCAATCATTACTAATTGAATGTTTTTTAGATCATTCAAATCGGATGCTCCGTTCTCTCAAAAACTCGATTTCTATTTTCTGCACTCTTTGCTCGTTATCTCCGTACCTGCTGGACCTGCCTCTACCAAAAACTAATCAGCACATCTCCTTATCAATAGGAGTCGAATGTTTTTTAATCGGGCGTACGGTTGATCCGTACGCCCGAAAACGTGGGCGAAAATTTGTATCCATACATACATACACACACACATCCATTTTTTCTGAAGTATGCCAAAATGTTCAGAAACCTTCAAAACGTCGAGAAATGTAAAAATTTTCAATTCCGATTTTCGGCCCATTACAATAACTTACCCTACGAGAAGTTAATAATGACAAACATTTGAATTTTCATTGCATTACTTAAATGTATAGATAGTTTATTTGTTCATAAACTGAAATTTTTTAATTAATTTGTCAGTAGCCACGAATATCATATACTATCCGTTATATAAAACTAATATCGATCTATCCCCGACAGGTTCGCTATTCACCGCAAAGAAAATGGAAAGTGACAAGCGTAATCCGGTGAAAAAATTCGTGAGCGTTTTTGCAAAACGAGTGGCGGTTTCTGCGGTTCCGTCCGCTTGTCAGATATGCGAGTGCACGGCGCGCGACTACGGGACAGCCTACACCCACTGCCACTCCTGCGACTACCAGACACCGCCGAGCCAGGACACGGTGAGTAAAATAATAATTAACTAGCTGTAAGTGGAATTCTGTCTTAAGGCAATTAAGGCATCGTGCCTTAAGGCAAATTGCTGAAACTTCCCGTACCAAAAATTATTAATTTTTTAAAAACGATTAACATTTTTGAAAAAAATTTACTTTGAAAAAATAAGATTTTTGAGAAACTATAAATTGGACAAAAAATTACTTTTTTTTGAAAAAAATTAAAAAAATAAAAAAATTTCTTTTTAATTTTTTTTTGAAAAAAATTTTATTTCTTTATTTTGACATATTGTGGAAGCTCTGAACTTTTTTTCAAAGCAATCGTACTGCTTTAACTGCATAGGGACAAAATATAAAGCGCGTAAGCGCCGCGTCGCTGTCTAACGCATAAGCATTGGTACGGAACCCATAGGAATGTTAACAAAATGTATACTTATTGTTAAAATCTCTATAAAATATCTGATAATTTGATGTGCATATGTCTAATGATCATTTTTGACCGCCAAATGGCTCATTTTTTTACTTTTTCCTCCATATCTCCGAAACCGCTAGACCTACCTTCATGAAAATTTTATCGATTCTTTATCTTGTCAATACAAGTCAAATGTTTTTGAATTATTCAAATCGGACGCTCCGTTCTCTTAAAAACTAAGTTACCGTTGTCGGCACTTTTTGCCCCGTATCTTCGGAACGGCTAGACCTGCCTTCGCCAAAAACTAATCAGCACGTCTCCTTATCAATACGAATCGAATGCTTTTTGAAATATTCAAATCGGTTGATTTGTGTTCCCGAAATCGTCGACGAAAATTTGTATCCGCACATACATACACACACGTACATACATACATACATACACACACACACACACACACACACACATACATCCATTTTTCTAAGGTATGCCAAAATGTTCAGAAACCTTTGAAACGTAAAGATATATAAAATTTTCATTTTCGATTTTTTTGCGATTACTATAACTTGCCCTACGGGAAGTTAATTAGTACAAAACTGATCTGGTAGAAAGCAATTTGTTTATAAATGAAAATAATAGCTGTTTTTCAAGTGGTGTAACAAAAATATTTTAATCAGCGTGGTCATCAATCTACATAAGGAACTAGCGCTGTCTGGCATCGCTATATACATGGCATCGTGCCTTAAGCCAAATTACAGGATCTTCCCGTACAGAAAATTGATTTTTTTTTATTATGAAATTATTGAAAATATTGAACTCCTTTCCAAAACAATCACTACGTAACTGTTCTAAAGATAAAATATCGCAGTCTAACGGAAACGGATAAATATTGGTACTTATTACTGAAATCCCTAAAAATATCTGATAATTTGATGTGCATACGTTTAATGATCATTTTACCGGTTCTTCATCCCGTCAATACAAACTAGTTAATATTGGTATTTAGCCTTGAGGCAAGTTACATGAACTTCCCGATATGTGTAAATAATCGACTTAATCAATAATAAACAAATTAATTTATGAGTGATTAGAAGTATTCCGAGAAGATTTATTACACATAATTGAAAACGAACGAACACGTTAACTCGGAGTATTTTCTAAACCAAATTTTCACAAATCAATAATTTTATAATTGAACCAGTTTTCGTAGGACTTTAATGGTTAGTATGTTCATTAAGACCAAGTACTCTATCGTTCTACAAGTAAATCGTCTAATTTTAATTTTAACAAACGTCAAAAAAAACTACTCATTTTCTCAAACTTTGATGAATTTTTAAAATTAAACTACTTGTTTTAAGGGCGTACTATTTCAGTAATTTCTATAAGACCATGATATATATCGCCAAAAAAAGTTCATTTTTTTTTTCAACAGATAATTGCAAGAAAATGGCTCGGTAGATTTTCACCTAAACTAATCAGTATCATTCCCAACTAATATCTTTCGAACAGTTTTAATTTTTTTAAATCGATTCGGTAGTTTGAGCTTAAACGTGGA